CGCAGTGGCACCCGCCGAGGTGACAGACTGCGCACCTGGAAAGTTACCCGGCTGCTCGGTGAGGTTCGCGGCTGGGGCTCGGGCGCCGGGGTGCGCGGGGAGGGCCGGGGTCGGGGCGCCCGCGTGTGCGCGCGTCGCCTGCGTCGCGCGGTGTGTGCCTCTCTCCGCTCCACACCCAGCGGGTCCCCGGCTTGTGCTGTTGAGTGTGGACGTGTGCCTGCGCCGCGTTCACTCCGGGTGGCGGCATCTCCCGACTCCCTGGGGGCAGAGGAAGGCTCCTCGTTTTTAAGAAGCTTATCTGAGGCCGAAGGGCGACCTCAGCCCCTCAGCCCAGGGAACAGTCCCAGGGCTCTCCGAGCTTCAGCCGGGAGCGGCCGCGGAGACTGTCGCCGGGGCTGGGGGCTCCGCGACGCTGTCAGAGCGTGCGCTCCCGGCTTTGCCTGCCAAGCTGGCACGCAGTGCTCAGGCAAGGACTTTCAGGAGTCCTGGTAAACTTGTGTGGGTGTCCCGAGTCTCTCAGCACCCTGAGGCTCTTCCACATTTCTGTGATTTCCCGGTGATGAAGAAACAAGAGTAAACAAACAAAACCCAGAGATCGGGAAAAGAAATGGGTTTGAGTTCGAGAAGACCTAGGGTGCACCTTCATAGCCCTGGGAGCTGTCGCTGAGCACAGAAACGGCGCGGGCAGATTCAGGAGGTAGAAAGCATGGCTCTGATACAAACGCCTTGGTTTCCTGATATTCTTGTTTCCCAAATCTCCAGGGGTTTTCGAATAGTTATTTTTATTTTATTTTTCTACTAAAGGAAGAGAGCCACATACACCTGCCCCTGCCACACCCCCGTACATACGGTTTCCTTAGAAATTGCATCTTTTCTTTGCAAGTTTCTATTTAACTCGTGGAGAAGGCGACCATCCCACATAACATACAGTCTCTGTTGCCAGTACTGTGCTTTAGTTTTGCACAGCAGAGTATGAGCGAAGATGGTGGAGAACACGCTTTGGAGAATTAGAGAACATCCTCTCCATTGGGGCCCTGGGTAACTAAGAATAAATGACATCAAAAGATGATGCCCGGGGTCCTTCTCTTTTAACACAAAGTAATTAACTCCGGTCCTGTGAAATCATTACGAATGAGGCTAACGAGAATTCACCCCCCAGTGAAGGCACAGGTTGCCTGGATGTTGCCCATATGTGATCCCATATTTTCTTGCTTCCTGGAGGCTATTTTACTATCAATTTATCCTCTCTTTCCCTGTGTTTTCATTTTCTCTATCTTCTGTGTTCATTATCCTGGGCTTATAAATATTCTCGAGTTTCCACTATTCTAAAAATCCTTTGCCTGAATCAGGACACCATCTTGAAGCCCCTCCTCTTGGCGTTGGCTTTTCACAGACCTTTGCAATGGAGTTTTTTATCCAGCCTTTTCCATGAAAGGCTCAATTCCGTGCTTTCCCCTGTGATCTCATTTTCTTGGACATATCTGTGGGATGTTAGCTGCATCCTGCTCACCTTCTAGGAAGCGTTACCGGCACGGCCTCTGAGGTAGTTCCAGATCTCTTCTTTGTACACCATTCCTTTCCCTTCTGTGCTGTTTGGTTCTCTTCGTCCTCCTCTCTCAGATCACACACTCAGGTATCACCTGTATATTCGCACCTAAGGATGGAGATGTTCCTTTTTTTATGTCTCCTCTCATCTACTAATGGGACTTCAAGCCTTACCTCCCCGGACCAGTGTTTTTCCTTGACTTCTCTTCTTTGCTTCTATCTGCTGGACATTTCCATCTTGATGACCCACAGGGTATCTCAAACGCAACGTATATAAATCCCGACTCCTGACTGTCTCTGTAAGGCCTGCTCGTTCTCCGACTGTCAGTGTCACGGTTCCTAACCCATAGATAGTGTCCTCTGGTAACCTTGGGGGGAATGAATGAACGAAGAGCGAATAGTACTACTTTCCTCTATGATTTCCAAGATCAAAACACTGGAATCCTTTTGACTTCTCTCAGGTGCGTATTCATTTAATTACCACATTAGAGACTCTGCCCTGCAGTATTCCTCCCACCTAGCCTCTTTTATTATTAATCACTTCACATCCTCTCTCACATTAACTAAAGCAATGGCCATCTCCCTGGTTTTCTTTCCAATCTTATATTGACCTAGACACGCTTCCTCTCCTCAGTGCCAATACCCTGGGCACTTGCATCCACTCGGCCAGCTTCAGCCTCCACTTATATCAACAAATGCTAAATATTGTCGGGTTTCTCTTTTCCTTCAATTTTCTAGTCCCTCATTTCTTACTGCTTACTGACCTTCTCTTCCTTGCGACTTCCACTTACTAAACTAAGTATGCCCCCAGTTAAACTCATTGTCCTATCCCTCAAATCTACTCTTCCTTTTGGTCGGTGACATCACCCCTTACCCGGTTGCCACAATGTAAACATCCAAATCTTTTTCTTTTTCTTCTTACCACCACTCAAATTCTGTCACCTATAATCTCCTGACCCGCATCTGCAGATCTGTATTTCAGTGTGTTTGTCTGTTTATCTGTTAATACAGCACCCAAAATAGCTGAATGGAACACTACCAGATTTGGCAGTCAGAAGTAGGATACGTGGCAATAATAAAAGTCATTGTGAATGTTCTGCTGGGGGAGGGACACTTCGAAGAGATAGTCAACCCCTGGAGTAGCTGGAACTTTGGTACAGTCAGCTCATATGGTTGTCTGTCAAAAGAAGGTTATTCTCTAAATCAAAGAAAACAAGCAGTCGATTCAAAACTGAGCCTCAGGTCAGCCGTCTCAGGGTCAAGTAGACAGATGCTTTGATTGTGGCATTGATGTAGAGAGGAGCTGTTTCTCACGAGGACAGCTCTGTGTGGTTTGCTTCGGGGAGAGGAAGTAAGGATGTATATTATGTATTCAGTGATAGTTAATTATTTTCTAAAAGAACTATGGAGAGACAAGCTAGTGATAACATCAACTGCATCAGCTTCCTAGACACCAAGCATATCATCTCAAACCTGTATCATTCAATCCTCTGATTTTGAGCTAAACTATTGATATCATAGAAAAGACTCCATTCTGCTTTTCATGATTTGCAGGGAAGGACATTGCAGAGTTACTTGTAATCATAACTTTTACCAAATATCCTGTTTGGTCCTTTTTTTTTTTTTTAGTTGAGGAAGGTGAAGTCATTAGAATGGGATGGCACTGTGGGCTGGCCTCAGTGCTGCACTTGTCACCTCTTACATGGGTGGGTGCCCTGGCCTCTTACTTTGCCTTACTTCCTCTCACCGCTTTTCATTTCATTCCATATATTTTTCCAAAGGGCAAATCCAACCGTGTGACTTGAAAACTACGTGGCCCACATGAGCATCCAAGTTCTGAGTTCTCAGGGTCCACCACGGCATCTTACTTTCTCAGCTTCATCATCCATCACTCTCCGTCCATCCATCATGTATTTCAGCCTGTCCCCTGAATGTACAATCAGCTTTCTTTCTTTTGAAAAATTAATAGACTTCCTATTTTAGAGCAGTTTTAAGTTTACAGAAAAAAATCGGTGAAAAGTATGACGCTCGCCCCACCGGCCTCCCCTGTTCTTACCATCTCCCATCAGTGTGATACATTTGCTATAATTGATGAACCAATATTGATACAGACATAGATATTAAACTCCATGGTTTACGGTAGGGTTTGTTCCTTACGTTGTGTATTCCGTGGGTTTCAACGAGGGCATAACGACATGTATCATACCAAATAGTTTCACTGTCCTAATAATCCCATTTTCCTCTTATTCATTCCTCTTGCCCTTTCTCCAAGCTCTTGGCAGCAGCTGCTGTTTTTGCTGTCATTTTCCAGATGCTGGATAACTGAAATCATACCGTGCGGAGGTTTTGCAGGTCAGCTTCCTTTGCTTAGCAATGTCTTTTTATTGGTTGACATTACTTTTTATTATCGCGTAATAGTCCATTATATGGATATACCACAGTTTGCTCATTCACCCACTAAAGAACATCTTGGTTACTTCCACATGTTGTTAAGTATGAAAAAACTGCTGTGAATGTTTATGGGTAGGTGCTGGTGAGAACTTAGGATTCATATCAGTCGGATGAATACCAAGACGTGCATTTGCTGGATCATGCAGCTTGCATTCAGCTTTGTAAGAAAGTGCCAAACTGTCCTCTACGGGGGCTCCGTCATGTTGCATCCCTACCGTTGATGAAGAAGGGTTCCTGTTGTTCTCTGCCTCCCCCAGCATCGGGTGTTGTCGGTGTTTTTGATTGTAGTGGGCGTGTTGTGGTACGCCATTATTGTTTACATTTGAAATTCCCTAATGACGTATAATGTTAAACACCTTTTCATATAATTATTTGCCATCTGTGCACATGTGTCATCTTTGGTGAGGTATTTGCTCAGATCTTTTGCCCGCGTTTTTGGGTTGTGTTTATTGTCACATGTTAAGCATTTCTCCTCTATTAGCTACATTTTGCTAGTACTTTCTCCACGTCTGGGGCTTGTTTCATTGTCTTACATTATCTTTTGCACAGCAGAAGTTTTAAATTTTAATCAAGTTCCTTTTATGAATTGGGTATTTGGCCCTTTAAATAAAAATAAATAAATAAAAAGCCATCACCAAACATGAGATCACCTCTGTTGTCTTTTAGTAGTTTTATAGTTTTTTGTTTTCTGGTTAGGTTTATGACCCATTTGGAGCTAATTTTTGTGAAAAGCATAAAGTTTGTGTCTAGTTTTTTATTTTTTTGAACGTGGTTATCTAGTTGGTCCATCCATTCTCTATTGATTAGCTTTTGTTCTTTTGCCAAAGATCATTTTAGTGTACGTTTGGGCCTACTCCTAGGCTCTTTACACTGTTGTATTAATCTGCTTTTCTGTTCTTTCACCAGGACTACACTGTCTTGATTATTGTAACTTTATAGTAAGTCTTTTTTTTTTTTTTCTTATGGAGACAGAGTCTCAAGCTGTCTCCCTGGGTAGAGTGTTGTGGCATCATAGCTCACAGCAGCCTCCAACTCTTGGGCTCAAGCTATCCTCTTGCCTCAGTTTTTCTATTTTTAGTAGAAACAAGGTCTCACTTTTGCTCAGGCTGGTCTTGAACTCGTGAGCTCAAGCTATCCACCTGTCTCGACCTCCCAGACTGCTAGGATTATAGGGGTGAGTCACTGCGCTCGGCCTTTACAGTAAGTCTTAAGTTGGGGAGTGTCAGTTTTCTCCTACAATATTGTATTGGTTTAGTAAATATTTTAAGATCAATAAGCCAAGCCCTGTGCTAAATTCTTATAATTTATCTCATTTATCCCTTTAACAACTCTACAAGACAGCAATGTTACTTTATCTGTCTGTCTGTGCTTCTGTTTCTTCTATTATAGAACCCAAGCCCAGTACCTTACCTGAGGACATGTAAACAGCAGGTGTAAGTGCCTGGACCAAGACTCTGGCTCCGCAACCTCAGCCAGAAGTGTTGCATCTCCTATATTTACACATAAACCCATAGGGGTGTGTGTCTGTGTGTGTATGTGTCTGTGTATCTGTGTGTCTGTATTTATAAGAGACTGCAGATGGGTAGAAAGAGAAATAGAGATTATTTAGACCAGAGCCAAGATTTTCATTTCAAACTGCTTTAGCGCTGGAGAAAAAACAGACAATCAAGTCTCCCACATTGCCGGCCAGGTGTTAATCTGCCTGGCGACACGCTTACAGTCACTTTTACTTTTCCCGTGGTCCTTCTAGGAAAGGCTATCCTCCGTGGGCAGCATTTCCTAAATAGTGACTGGATTAATATGATAGCCATTTAGAATATGATGTAGTGTTCTTCTCGTCTTGCTAAATGCCACTACTCACTCTCTTCCTCTCTCCCCACCCTGCCTGCAAGAGAGTACCACCTCCATAGTGAACCATGCTTTTTTGTTGCCCTCAGAGATAATTAGGTGGGCCTTTTGTGTTTAAGGATGTCATTGAGAAATGTGAAAAGTCAACAGGGCACATGAGGCAGTTACCAAGCACCAGAATCCTTGCAGGCCTGACGCTGGCTCCGTGTCATCCACAAGGCCTTTTTTTTTAATCTCCATCTTTGAGTGGTGTTTGTTTCCCAGACTGTTCCAAATGACTTCTTTTCTCAATGAAACCCATAATATATGCAGAGTAAGATTTTCTCTCCCCCCCCCATGCATCTGTGAAGACCTCTCATGTCTGAGACTTCCAGTTTACTAGACTTTTGTCCTACCCAGAAATGAGCCCTGCTGGCCTTTCCTCACACCAAGACGTGAAGTTTCTGTTTCTAGCCAGTTTCTCTGTAAGAACTACTTGTTCACTTGATGTCTCCTATGTGTCAGGCATTGTACACAGCGCTTTAAAAATGTAACATTCACTGTAACCCTCTGAGGTAGACAGAAGTGTGCTCTATTTTATAAGTAAGAGAACTAAGAATCAGAGTTTCTAAGGAATCTATAGAAGATTGGGAAAAAGCAGACCGCTTTCTAACCCTCATTGGTCTGACTCCAGTGCTCAACTTAAATTCTGGTCTTTATCTCCAAACTCATTTTTGATTATATCATATGCTCTGCTCTGAATATAAGAATAGTTTTAATAACCTGTAGTTGTTAGATTAATGGATCAACATCCTGTATTTCTCTTCTCCTTGAGGCTAGCAATACATATTTGAGAAATAGTTTATCATAGTGACTGATGCAGGAAACAGAGGCAAGCTTCATAATTAGGTTTTATAAAGCCAGAGACATAAGGCCTTGGCTTCAGGGACAACAACATTTGAATGGATGAACTCAGTAAGAAATCAGACCAGTATTCAGCCATTTAGTAACTTGTGGACATATCTTAAATGAGTGACTTGAAAGATGAGTTAGTTATTCTCCTTTCACCTCTCCTTGGAATTCTAAATAACTTGAAAGATTTATGCAGCTTCCAAATTGACTTCATTAAAACCGGAGAATAGTTGGCGTTTGGGGGAGAATTTAACACCCTCTACCTAATTGTCCTTCATGTTGACAATATTATTGGACTGGTACAGAAATTTTTGGATATCATACCCAGAGCAAAATGACTTGAAGCCTTTCTGTATTTAGAATGCTACAACTGTTTTCTGTGTCAACTTTGGCTGTAAATCCATGATGGGATATGCCCGGGTAGTAAATATGACAGTTAACGGTCTTAGTAAACCATCATTCCATGAATAAAGAAGGAGGTGTTAGTTTAGTGTTAGATTTTTAAAAATTGTTCTTGCTTTTTTCTTTATAGGCCATATCCTTTCCCTCCTACCATTACCCTGTGTTCCTTTCTTTTTTGGGTAAAGAATGCTTGTCCGTGAACCAAAGAGCCTGTCTAGAAGATGGCTCACTGCTTCAGGCAGACCCTTGCATACATGTTAATGGAAGATACTTTTGAGAACACCTTTCCCATGCCTGTGATTCGTAATCTCATTCAAGTTCCTTCTCAGATCCCAACCCGACATCTTCCGAATTGTTTATTCAGGATGTAAGTATGTCCAGGACCACTTCTTTGAATTCTCGTCTCCCCAGTCTTCTTACATATCAAGCAATAATAGAGGCTGCCAAGTCAACAGAAGCTTAAACCTGCCACTTCTCTTGAACATATTAAGGCAATTCTCTGAAGGGTAATATTTCTTAATAACTGCTTTGAACCTGAATTCTATGAGGCACAAATACCTGGGCATTTTCAGATTACTTTGATAAATATGTTTATTTTCTGTTTGTATTGTCTTGGACAACCTATATTGGCTACGTGGTTGCATCTTGTTTGAACCGTAGGTGCTACATCACCTTTGCATTCATGCCTTCATTGCTGTAGGGGTCAGGCTCATTCTGGTAGAGCTGGTGAAATAAATCTAGATATTTTATTTCTATCTAAGTTTGAAGTTTGGAGGGAGAGAAGGGCAGGAATATGAGAGTTTCATCTCTCTTAACTTTAGGTGATCAAAGGGATTCAGGCTTAGTTTACAACTATTATAATAATGCTTCCCAGATTCTGGCTTTCAAAAGTCACATGTGCAATAGTATAAAGTTATTTTAATAGCCAGTCACAAAAGCTTTAAGCCTTATGACTGATAGCTTTTCAGCTTTTCTTTTTTCTTTCTTTCCATATATATATATATATATATATATATACACACATTTTTTTTTTTTTTTTTAAGGAAAGATTGTGGTAGCACCATCATAGCTCACTGCAACCTCAAACTCTTGGGCTTCACTGATCCTATCTCAGCCTCTGGAGTATCTGAGACTGTAGGCACATGCCACCACACCTGGCTAGGTTTTCTAATTTTTACGGAAATATGGATCTTGCTATTTTCTCAGGCTGGTCTCAAACTCCTGGTCTGGTCTCCCAAAGTGGTAGAATTACAGGCTCACATCCACAATGCCTGGCCAAACTTTATGATAATTAAGCAGAGCAATTTGAGTTCTGCTTTATGATTTTGCTTGCATGTGCTTATTACCTGCAGATGGCTTATTTTTATTTTCATTGAATTATCTCAATAAACTTTATTACCTAATATAGTCTTCACTGGAATCGTAATAACAATGAGTTCATGAGTTTGCAATGCTAGGTATTTACATTTACAACACATAAATAGCTATTGAACTAAAAACAAATTCCGAATCAACTAAAATCGTCTCTCATAACCCCTATTCTGCATATAACATCCTGAGACTCCCTAGATTAGTGATTTGGGGAGTGTACACTGGGAATATTCTTAATAGGAAAAGGATAGACCTTGGATCGCAGGTTATTTTTTGATCAGCCTCGACTGTGGACATAGAGTATGTAGGAGAATCCCCCTACCTCTGTCCAGTGACGAAAATCCAGAAGTTTCTTTAGCAGTGAGCATTATCAGAAATGCAAAACTTAAAGGATGCATATGGCAGGAAAAAATGCTAATAAGGCAACACCGCCACTGCCTTCTCCTTCTGAGGACTGCAGATGTGTTATTTTCTGAATCAGGGGAAGGCTTCCTACTTCCTACTGGAGCTGCTCAGGGAGCTAGGAGAGTTGTGGCTGCCACACCTCTGTGGCTGTAGCTGTTGGTTTGCGTTTCATCTTTGCTATGCTGATATCCACATCACAGTTTTGTTGTGATGCTTTTCACAGCTGTCCAGAGAGAATGGCCAGGGAAAACAGCAGGTAACTCAGGCCATTTGCGCAAAATGCTTAGATGTGATGCTTGTACTCGTGAGGGGTCAGGGGAGAATGAGCCCATATGCTCTTCCTGAAGGCATTAAGGGACTCGGCCCAGAGCTTGCTTTCTGGAAGCACAGGGAAATTCATTGCTTATCACACAATGATATCTGTTTATGAAACGGATCCAAACGAGACGGGGTAGGGCTGTTGGGAAATATCTGTTTGGTCATTCCCGACCTGTGTCCTCTTTTAGGTCCACGAGCAAAATGGGAAATGGTTCAGTGAAACCCAAACATTCCAAGCATCCAGATGGCCACTCTGGGAACTTCACCAATGAGGCCCTGCGGAGCAAGGTGATAGAGCTGGAGAGAGAGCTGAGGAGGAAGGATGCTGAGATCCAGGAGCGCGAGTACCATCTGAAGGAGCTGCGGGAGCAGCTGTCCAAGCAGACCGTGGCCATCGCTGAGCTCACGGAGGAGCTCCAGAACAAGTGCGTCCAGCTGAACAAGCTGCAGGATGTGGTGCTCATGCAGGGCGGGAGCCCGCCGCAGGCCTCTCCAGAGAAAGTGCCTCTGGGGGTCCAACGGAAGACTTCGGGGTTGGTGTCTCTCCACAGCAGGAGGGGAGCAAAGGCTGGGGTGTCTGCTGAGCCAACCACCCGCACCTATGACCTCAACAAACCCCCTGAATTTTCCTTTGAGAAAGCAAGAGTCCGAAAGGACTCCAGGTAAGAAGTTCCTACATCCTTTTAATCTGATGGCCTTCATATCATGAAATACTAAGTGATATTTATTATGCCTCCTTAATGATAAAGTGCATATTAACCCTTTCAAATTTGGGGATAGAGGGTCTATCAAATGGCTTCATTTTGCAGAAGGATCTCCTGTTAGACAGAAGTTGTCTTTAAAGCAGAAATTGTACTTTACCTGGACTTGGATATGACATTATCCAAACACACACATGTCTTTGATATGTATCACTTTGATATATATATGTATATTTTTGATACATGTCACTTTGATATGTATATATACACACATATATACACACACACATATATATCTTTGATATATATCACTTTGAGGAGCATTGATATATCACGTTGATATATATATATCTTTGATACATGTCACTTTGATATGTACATATACACACACATTATATATATGCACACACACATATATATATCTTTGATATATCACTTTGATATATATATCTTTGATACGTGTCACTTTGATATGTGTATATACACACATATTATATATATGCACACACACATATATATCTTTGATATATCACTTTGAGGAGCTGAGTTTACTGAAAGTCACTTTATCATCTTGAAAACCCTAGGGGATTGAAGGGGTAATATTAAGAAGTGTACATCTCTCTTTCTAGAGGACTGGGCTTAAAAATATATATAAATCACAATGAAATATCAATTATTTGTAGTAAAAATACTATTTTAAATATCATGTATAATAAAAAACCTATTTTAAATTAGGTTACATTGCTTGTGTGTGTTAGGGGAAGTCCAGGTTGTGGTTGAGCCCTTCACCCAGGCGGTGTGCCACAGACCCCACACTGTGCCCATTAGGTGAGAGCACACCAACCCCCTCCATCCTCTCTCTCCCCCTTCACCAGCTCCCCCCTCCTCCCTACTGGTATTTAATTGTGTTTTTCTGTTATGTGGGCACGTAGTTATTCATCTACAGATAAAAACCACTTCTTAACAGTTAATCTGCAGGTGTCCCCAAAAAGGAATATAGGGGAGGCTGAAATGGACATCCAGCCATTCCACTGTTTATGCTGAGCCATGCTCTCTACCTGCCGCTGTGGTAGATGTTAGGTGCACGTCAGTGGATAGACGGCAGAGCCTTCCTGGTGGGGGACATAGACTGTGTACACGGGAACAAATCAGCAGTGTCTAATTATTAATTGGGATCAATGATCTTATGGAGCCCAACAGTGTCATGGGCAGTGTCTCAGTGAGTGGACAGAAGGGCATGAAGCAGGCTTGTCCTGAAGGCCTAGCTGAGGACGTGACCTCTAACAGACCCAAAGGATGAAAAGGTGTATGGACCAGGTGGAAAGAGCATTTCAGGCAGAGGGAAAGATTAAAAGCTAGTATTACTGTTAAGCATTAGAATTTTTCAAAGAACATACAAATTACCACTGTGTCCTTGTGAGAGTGTATGTGTGTGTTTTGTGGCTAAAGTTTGATTTTTTTCTGACCAGAAAAGATTGATTAGAAACATCTCGAGTTAGGGTTCTCTTTCTTCATTATTTCTAAATGAGTATTTGTTCATTGAAATTAGATCTTTTGCCTTGGTAATGTCTTGGTTGGGCATGGGTCTCTATTGCAAAGTGCAAGATCTGTGAAATTAAAACAAATTTTAATTTATTCACAGACACAAGTAATATAAATCAAGATAAAACATCTGACCTAAACAAACAAAATGATTAATTTTAACACAAAAATTATAAAGGGAGGTTTAATTCATCAATTTGTTGACAGTACTTGGCACATAGTGAATGATCAATAAATATTTGCTAAGGAAGGTGGTGATGTCAGATTATTAATCATAATACTCCATGGCTGAAAGAAATCTGGTTAATATTAGACTTCAGGAGAGTTTTATTAAACCAAAAGTTTCATTATTAATTTTTTTAATGAAGTCTTATCTATTCTCTTTCAAAAAAAATAATTTGTTTCTAGTGTATAAATTCAGAAGTCGTAAATGTCACAAACTTAAGCTCGTTAAAAAAAAGTTGAACACCATCCCATCTTTTCTTTTGATATAGCAGAAATATGGTGCATTGTATTATTATATATTCATACATAAGTATATTATTCAAGGAGCAATATGCTTTTATACATAGAAAACCTGTAAGACAATTTAGTTGCAATCCATCTTCTTTGACCTTTTCTCCACATATGCCACCAGATTTCTTCTCTTGAATCCAGATTATTTTCAAAGATTTACATTCATCTTGAGGCACAACACCATTCTTCTGGTGCTGAACAGTCTAAGATAAACATATTTCTTTGACTCTCTTCATTAACTCTGTTATAACCATGCAAAGAAAAAAATCAGTAGTTATGCCAGGTTAATTTCTGCGTCAAACCACACCCCCTTTTATCTAACTGTAGTGAAAAGCATAGGAAACACAGCTCCCCAATAAGGATTATATTAATGCTTCTCCTCACCATAAAACAAGCCAAATAGGTATAAATCTACATTGTGATCAGGATGAATAAACAGGCTAATTGATTTCTTAACGATTAAGTCTTAAAGAGACTAAGCTACATCATTCATACCCTAATAATCCTCATCTGTTTTCACAGAGCCTTGTGGTTCTAAATAGAAAAATTAAAGAGAATATGGAAACACAATTTTTTATCGTCTAGCTTGTGCCTCAATTTCTCTTGCAAAGCATACAAATATATTTCTTACTAATTCTGAAGTAACTGGCTAAACACAGATGGCTATCAATTCAGAGATTGAAACATTTTCCAGTTATTTAAAAGTGCTCAGTCTTACAATTTATCTTCCATTTCCAAAACCTTCCACTCTTGGAGAAAAGCCAAAAGTAAACATTGGATATTTTTATATCTCTTTTATATAATGCAGTCAATCAAAAATTTTGTAGGAAACAATTTTCTAGAAGTTAGAGCATTAAAAAAGATGGGCGTGTCCTTCACTGATGCAAGGATAATATGCAGGGTCCATTGTATCCATTGACTTGGACTCTTTCCAAGATATTATAGAATTTGAAATCATCAGTCAAAATGGCCCTTCTGTTTATTTTTAGGTTTTCAAAATTTATTTCTTGCACTTTCATAAAGTTCCTGAATGAATTTATGAAAAATTTGTTTGTAATAGTATGTAGTTCATGTGTCAACTACATTTTACATAAAGTTTATCTCCACACTGGATCAGAAAACATTGAATGGCTTTCAGTCTTTTTGTCAAAAAGAGTATCTCTGATAAAAACTTAGCCCTGAGCAAGAAACTGCAGGAGAGCCCTAGTTCTTCAGCAATAAACAATATTGGGGAGATAAAAGGCACTAATGGAAACCAAAGAATAATGTTTGATGGTGTGATAGATTTGGAATTTGAGGATTCAATTTCAGTAATTCATGAGAAACTCTACCACTCACAACACTTCAGTCTGTGATTTTGCTGAGGCACCTGTGCTTAGGTGTGTTGTGAATGGTAAAAGAGCCTCTTCAACTGCTAGGCGGCCCCTTCTTGTGCCACCTTTGTTATCCTGTACTCATCAATTGTGCTCTTAGGGTCATTTAAGGGGTAACTTAAATGGTATAGTTGCATCTCCCTGCTTTACGTGAAGGAGCTTATAATGCAGTGGTTCTCAACCTTCCTAATGCCGCGGCCCTTTAATACCGTTTCTGTAGGTCGTGACCCACAGGTTGAGAACTGCTGTTATAATGGAACCCTAATGGCACCAGGGAATTCTGGAAATTTGTCCCATGTGAAATTCAAGAATCTGCTTTTTAAGCTCAGGTTCTAGAATAATTCAGTGCTATCCAATAGAATGTTTTGCACTGATGGAAATGTTCTACAATCTTTTTTGTCCTATATGGGAGCCAGTAGCCACCTGTGGCTTTCAAGCACTTGAGGTGTAGCTAGTGCCACTGAGGAACTGGGTTTTTAATTTTAATTCATTTTAAAATTAAATATCCACAGGTAAATAGCCATTGTCTAATGGTTGCCATATTTAATATGGCAGTTCTAAATTACATGGTTTTGACTGTAACTGCCATTTCTTGAGATAAGAATTAGAGCCAGTGGAGTTTGGGGATCCTTTATGCACAAGACTTGCGTTTGATGTGAGGACAAAGCCACACAGGGCGAGGATGTGCTTGTCAGACTGAGGTGGGCACAACACGGAATCGCTGATAAGCTGTGCCAGACCTGCAGGGTATCAGAGCCCTTGGCAGCAGCTGGCTCTGTGTCTTCTGACCATTTTCATTTTAGACCTTCCAAAGAATACAGCTACGCGGGCATGGAGCCTGTTTCTATCATAGACACTCAGCTTTACTGAGGGATCATAAATCACATGATGAATTAGAGTTCTAAAATACAGAGTTCTACAATATAGTTCTTATCTCTAATTTAAATTTAATATGCTGAACATCTAAAGGCTTTAGAGCTACAAAAACCTTAGAGATTGCTTTAAGCCATCCATTATGCCCTGCCCAGAACAGCGAGGACACCAGGGACAAGGAAGTTACAGACGGACCATGGCTGATGGCGGAGCACAGATCAGAATCCAAGAGTCTTAGTTTTGAAACCAGTTCTTTCCATCTGCCCTCCTGCTTTGGTGTTCTCAGAACTACCCACAAAGACAAAAGCTCAGACCCATCTGGGCACCAGTCTGCCTTGTCACGACACACCCCACTGATTGGTAGTAAGAGGATGTGCTTCCTGGGGCTTCCTGGCTTTGTCCATGTGGAGCTGAGCAGAGGCCTCCCCTTGTATCAACACTTACCAGCTGCTGGGTCCTCGGAGCTCGTGCACAAGTTTTAAACTTTGTGCATAAAGGGTTCCCAAACTCCATTAGCTCACAATTCTTAGCTCAAGAAATAGCAGTTACAGTCAAAACCATGTAATTTAGAACTGCCATATTAAATATAGTAACCATTAGATAATGGCTATTTACCTGTGGCTATTTAATTTTAAAATGAATTAAAATTAAAAATCT